GGGACGTAGCTTCCGCCCGCCTCGCGCCCTTCTCCTTTTCTTCTTCTTCTCCGGTGCCCTTACCGGCCGTTCCCGGGCCTTTGTCCCGGTCCTCCCGGGAGGGGGAGGGCCCGTAGCTCCAGATCAGGTAGGCGACCCCCCCCGCCAGGACCACGGAGGCGCTCAGGATTCCGGCTTCCCGCAAACCCAACATGGTGGTCGGATTTCTGTAAGCCGTTACCCGTCTGAGTCCGCCATTTGGAGTAAAAGTTGTTTTTTTCGTCCGCCTCCTTGCCCTACTCTTCCTCAACAAGTGGATTAAGTGACAGGAAGCGGCGGATGAACTTCTCCACACGATATTTCCGGCTATAACTCGCCGCTGTATCTGCGGTTCCACCAACTGACCAGAAGAGGGAGACATCTTAACCAGGACGCCATTGTTCCCAAAAGGACCTATAAGCGCATGCGCAAGAATGTACTCGTCACTAAATAAGATTAAATATATATTTTTAATGGTTAAGGACTACAAATCACAACAGAATAACATTTTTTTAAATGGTTTAAAACAGTAAGTAAATTGTAGTCATTAGATAATGTTTTATTATAGCATAAACATTATAGCTAAACAGAAACATATGAACCATTTTTGTCCCTAAACATTGAAACTGTTAATGTTTTTATGCTGTGATGGATAAATACTTTATGAAGATAAAGACACTGGACTTAGGTTACTAAACATGATTTAAATGGACTTTCAATAAAGAACTTTGAAGAAACAATTTATTTATAAATGTAACAAAAAGAGCTGGTATAAATAACTAAATATATTGAATCACAAAAATGAACATAATTTTTTTTTTACAAGTTCTTTATAAAAATAAAAGACTTTAAAGAGACAACGGACCAGGAACGAAGGACGCTTTATTTATAAATATAACAAAAATTACTCGGATAAATAAAAAAATATATGAACGTCTTCATTTTTTCTTAAGTTCTTTATAAAAAACAAAGAACTTTGAACAAACATCGGGTGAGAAATTAACAACACTATTTATAAATGTAAGAAAAAGAGCTGGGATAAATAACAGAATATAT